TATATATATATATATATATATATATATATATATATATATATATATATATATAATCATCATACTTCTTATCATAAGGTGCTTTTTTAAATAATGTCAAATCTGCTTGAATTCTGGGACAAATGCTTTTATTTTGAAACAAAACAAAAAAAACTAAGCTGACCTGAAGTTTAATGTTTCCTCCAGGGATTTGAAGTAATTATCTATTTAATTCATTCTCTCATGGGTGGAGCCTACATATAGAAAACCAACTTTATTGTGCCTTAAAGACTGTGTGATTTTTCTTTTTCTTTTTTTTTTTTTTTGTTTTGTTATTTTCTTTTTGACAGCTGACGTTTCAGTCCAAAGCCATCCGTAGTACTGAGAAGTGCTCATGTATATTCTCCTTCGGCTTGTTTATTCCTCATGTTTTATTCCAGAGGGGTGAAAAAAAAACTCAGTCTGTAAACAGAGCTTGGAATGGATTTGCACTCTTGCAGCCAGAGCTTCTCACAGATGATGTCCCGAGGCTTTAGATGTGGCATCAGAGTTGCAGTGCAACCCCCAGCCTTGATTCTGGAGCCAACCGTCACTCAGCAGGATGTGGCGAGGAGACACCAAACTGAGGGGGACTCAGATAAACTAACACACAAACCAGGGAGATCAGAAAGTTTTCAGTTTCTGCGAGGGAACGTCAACACCCCAGAGAGGAGTGTTTCTAAAAGAGTCATCCAGAAAACAGTCCCAGAAGGTGTTGCCTCCTCCACACTCACTGGTAGCAGCCTGATCCACGTAGAAATGTAGACTCCATCTACAAACACTGTTTTAAAAAGTAAAAAAGAACTCTATTAGGTCAGCGATCCACTTTAACCACCATAGCAATTCAAGTTGACCTTTATCCAAAACAGTCATTGATATTCCAGGTGCATGTTTTTCATGCAGACTTTCATTGAAAAATCATGTCCTGAATTTAAGCAGAGCAGGAGCTACAGGGAGCTGTGGCTGTGGCTGGATTTGAACCAACGTCAAGGAAAAGCCTTTTCTCTGTGTCTTGACATTTGATACCTTTATCGCCTGTCTGTTTCTGTGCCTGATAGATGTGGGAGGAAGCCATTATTTTGGGAAAGGAACTGGCTGAGCAGTACGAGAATGAGATGTTTGACTTTGAGCAGCTGAGTGCATCCTTGGTGAGGAACCTTTTCTAACTCATTGCCTGTTGTAAACAGAGATATTTCCAGCTGTAATAACTTAACCCAGGTCAGATTCTCTCTCTCATAGCCATTATCAGTGTCAGCAGTTTAACTGTATCTTTTTTATCAAACAGTATTCAGGTGTAAATGAACTACTCTTACTGCCTGTGCTTGTATCCCTGACAGAGGAAGCAGGCCCAGTTTTATGAGAACATCGTGAAGGTCATCCGGCCCAAACCAGACTACTTCGCCGTGGGCTATTACGGCATGGGCTTCCCCTCCTTCCTACGAGTGAGTACACACAGCACTGTGTATCCCCCGACGACTCCCGGCAGCCCACACACGTGGCTGAAAGCGCAGCAAGAGTGAGCCACTTGTCAGAAGTGAAAATCAATGTGTTCACTCGCGCAGCCTCCAGCGTCCGTACACACCGCGTGCATTTTATAAATGTCGTTTGTGCAAACAGAAAGTTGTGATTTCAAAGCCTTTCTCTCACCGTCTTGTCTTCATCTGTCATTCATGGTCTAATTCTCCCAGCTCCTTAAACCCTCTTTCCCACCACATATCTGTCTGTATAAAACTCCCGCTGTAGGGAAGTTACTTTGTGTACAGCTCAGCTGGATAATCCTAACATTTCCTTCCAACGTTCCCGATGACAGGACTTGACACAGAATAGCAGCTGCTGGAATGATCCCCAAAGTTAAGCCAGTATTTTCCATTTATTCCGGAGGCTCAACACATGACCATTAATTCAATTAGGTGAACTTTATTGAACTCTTTTCTCCATGCACTGAGAGTGAGCCGCCGCCGCAGTGTGATATCAACGGTGGCTGATGTTTATAGTCCTGAAACCACCAAGATTAGCCTTGTTTATGTTTATGTTTATGTTGCGCCCGGGCGCAGAGGTAGGAATGATTGGTAAAATGACTGTCATTATTTGTCCACAGACGTCAGCGTTACAGCGTAGTCCATTTTACACCAGTGTAAAAAAACCATCCACCAGCGACGGCAAAGGACGCTGAATATGACTTTTTTTCCAACCACATCTTCCTTTTTATTTTTATAATAGATTATAATTGAATCAACTGTTTTACAAAAGCCATGACCAACAGAGTCAGATTTCGTGGTTACATGAAAAGGGTCATTAAGTAGCTCTTGGCCGTTTTTTAAGGGGCTTATAACATATATTAATTTATATATATATATATATATATATATATATATATATATATATATATATATATATATTTTCACTGAAGGTTTTGAAATACTGAAGGTTTTGAAATTTAAGTTTATGTTTGGACATTAAAACCAATTTCTATAGGATTCATTGGCTTTCTAACCATCAGTGATTCCTTTTCTCTAGTTTGTATTACGTTATATGTAGCAAAAAGTATCTTCATTTTTTTTTAGTACCACGACCTTCATACAACGGCTGCAGGGATCAACACATGAACAGAAGAAACCACAACCGACCGTCTGTTGTTTGGTTTTTACATTCCTCTCCGTCCCCACCGTTGTGCCGATCTGATCTCAGCTTATCAGACATTAAAGACGTGTTTAGTCGACAGTTGATATCTCCGCTCCTCGCTGGCACTTGTTCTGCCTCCACTGCTGCTGCTCTGAAGGGCTTTTTGTTCCATCGCGTATCAGATTTAGTCCTAACGCTGATGCCGTTGTGCTGGGCTTTGTGATCACTTGTTCGCCAGATAGCGAAAGTTGTTCACGTTATGGTTGCGGGTGAGGTTTTCTTTTATCAAAATTTGATACGACTCCATCACGCTACTGCATCTAGAAGAGGAGGAGATCAAGGTTCTTTGCTTGTCCTAAATACACACACACATATATATATATATGTGTGTGTATACATTATATATAGTATATGTTATTTATTTTTATTTCCTCTAGGTTTTATTTCTATTCCCTTCTCTCTCTCTCTCTCTCCCTCCCTCTCGCTTTCTCCCTCTCTCTTTTTTTTTATTAAGATTTTCAGATCGTAGATTACCGTCTGCTACATTTACAAATTGCTGTACTGCCTGACATCATCTCCATGTTTCTCCTCCTCAATCTCCATCAACTACATCCTAAATCTCGTTAAGTGTCGCTGAGTGAATCCAACGTACGGAATATAAATCCAGTCACTCCTTATCACGTCTCCTCCAATTCCTTGTTCCTGGACTGCTTTGATAGATTTCATAATTATGTTGAATGATTCGGGTAAATCCACGTGGAAGCATTCGTATATGAGTTACTAACTGAGATTAATTCAGTGCAGAGGGTATTTATTCCCAGCCCATCTCGCCTGAGTTGCCGTGGCGTGGCAGTGTCCTCGGGAAAAAGTCAATTATGTGAGAAATCAATTATCAGATAAAGTTATTTTGTGTTCAACCCCCTTACAAATTGATTGAATGCAGAGTGTGGATGGTCTTAGCTGCTTATGATTTATTAGTGTGTAATGGTGTAAGACAGTAGATCTGCACTCTCAAAGAATCATGTCCTTCATGGACATGTTTATGTTTTTACTCCATCTCTGGTGAATTAGGTTGGAGGAGAGGCTTTTATGTTTTTTGTTTGGTCTTAACTCAGCCATCGTAAAGAGAGGCAAATAACAAATCTGTTTTTCAGCATTGAAATCTTTGAAGCATACCTTTGAGCTCTTCCTGTATCTGTATGCTCTGTTACGTCTTCTATATTTGAGTTTTTAGATATGATAGAGTTAGGCTGCCTTTCATAGACATAGTCCCATTGTTTCCTCCAGTCTCTGCGTTTTTTTCCCCCCTCACCATCTTTTCACATCACCTGCAAACTTTGCTTAATCGCTGAATCGAGTTTTCGGCGAGGGGTTCAGCTTGAAAAACAGCTGAGGCTGTGCGAAAGTTAGTTTGAAATAGGTAGGTGAACACGCCGCGTGCAGAGATGCCGGGGATATGAGCTGTCATGTTCTATCACTGGCTGTGTTCCTCAGATAGATCCTTGAGCACACTCTCAGGCTCATACATTTATAGGACCACTCTTCTCACATAATTTACTTTCAGTTCAGTGTAAGACGAGATCTTTTCAATCTTTGCCATGAGTTGGATCTCATCAGATTGAGAGGAAACATCCGTTTGTTTTCGATAGTCCTTTTCCCTGGTAGCCATTCTGGAGGTTTATTGTTTTGTAATAGTGCATTTTCTCTGTTTCCGTTGACTTGATGATACTCTAGCTGTTGCTCCTCCTGCCATTGTGTTTGCTTCTTTTTAAATATATGGAATTGCCTTGGAGGCCAACAATTGAGAATAGACATTAGCATTTTAGTGTGAATTGCTCATTAGTAATTTCCCAATAACAGCCAGCTTCTGCAGACTTTAGAAAACGAGAATTACTGACAGAGGGTATGGGTGTATACATGACGGGAATGCATATCGCAAAAGTAGGAATTCACTTCCAGTCCTGAAAGCTCTAAATAAATTAACTAAAAATGGAATCTCACAGTTTTCCATAAAAGCTGAAAATTGTGTTTTATTAGACAAACTTACAAGAAGCTGGTTCGGTTGAAAAGACTCTACTGTCGACTTATCTGTGAAGAAATAATGTAAAATGTCCTCAGGCATATTTCAAGGCTGCAGTTCCTTTAATTAATTGAGGAATCAAGATGTGTGCTGTGTGTGAGGGATAAAGCTGCGTTTGTGCGGGAGCCATTGTGTAATGTCTGTGAAAGAAGGGAGGAAATTGAAAAAGAAAAAAAAAGAAACGACGCTATCATGCCATGATAAGATCCTGACTTTCAAGTTATGTAATGTCCCTGTTATGCTAATGAATGAAGCTGGTAATTTATAGTAAGACTTCAATCCAGCTGCTGAGGTGGAAGGATGGTCTCTCCTTCACCGCCACCATTCCATCACAGTGACTTATAATTGGTAGCGTTTCTGATTCTCAGCTTTTAGCAGCACACGTCTTTTTAAGGGAAGTTGGTGAATTTTTAATAATATTTTTGGCTAACATTTAACTATTACTATTTTACTAATATAAATTATAGCAGTGGTCCGAGGGCCAAATGTGGCCCGCCAAACCCTCTACTTCGGCCTCAAGTGGATTCTAAAATAAACATCAAATAATAATGATAATATTTATTTATATTTCATATTATTATTATTATTTGAGTGTCCAGCCCCTAAGGTGTCAGTCCAGAAACACTTCAAAAAGTAAAACAGAGCACAACCAGAATTAAGATCAGAAAACTAGTGATCAAAATCAATAACAAAGAATTGCTTAATTTAGCCTTAAAACAAATGCTAGTAACTAAAGGATAGCACAAACCAATGTAATGTAATGTGACCCCCCAAAAAAGCCAACCAATATGACATTCATAAGTAAATTGCCAGCACTCTCCCAGTAATGATATTTGAAAAACAAAATAATAAAATGATAAAAGTAAAAAGATCAGGAGAGTGTGTTTTAACCCCCAGCCTGGACACAGGGCCGATTATTGTATATTCCATTACCTTCACTAAGTAGGTTTTAGTTACTGGAGCTAATGTTCTGGTGAAATGGTCTATGAAATGACACCGTACTCTGTCAGCAAGGCGACTGTTCCTTATGTCCAAATAATTTGTTCTAATTTGCAACAGCTTCCACCCTTGGTGCCTGTCTCTGTGTCCACAGAGAGCTGACGTCTCTCTGTTTACCTTTGTCATTCTTCAGAACAAAATGTTCATCTACCGTGGAAAGGAGTACGAGCGCAGGGAGGATTTCGAAGCCCGTCTCCTCACGCAGTTCCCCAACGCAGAGAAGATGAAGACGACCACTCCGCCGAGCGAGGACACCAAGTCTTCATCCGGACAGTGTATCCTTTCAAGTAAACACCACTTTTGTTATGGTTTTCTTCTTCTGTTGGGCTCAAAGATGTAAGTAAGGTATACCTTTCAGTATTTAAACATTTAAGTACAAAATGCACAAATACAGCTGTAAGTGGCATCACAATTCTAATTGGACAATAATGTTACAGAAAATATTACCACGTGTGGCAGGAAATAGTTTATCTGAAAAATACGAGCAAGATTTTTTTCCAGTTTGATTAATGATAATGGTTCCTAAAATATGGGGCGTGTCCCCATTGAGGATGCAGAACTGTCACTGGTGCCACAGTCGGGGAAATTGCACTGATTTGTTCTGTTTTCAATTTACTGTAAATGACAGTGTCTTACATTTGTGTAATGACTTGTAGTAGGTCGGTTGAAATTAGATAAGTCATATAGAGAGCCATGGGACTTAACATCAACATAAACACGGCCACATTAGTCAACTGTCATGGTCATAAAAAGTACTGCAGTAAAGTTTATCCTTGATTCTTGTGCTGAAGACATTCAGTGTTTCACAGTCAAACCCATCCTAGACCTGCCTGCCAAGTTCCACAACAAGCCTGTGTCTGAACAAATACTGAGGTGAGCAGCATATCCTCCACAAACATATTTGTTTATTTACATTAGAAAAATGTGTTCTTTCCAACCTGCACAGCATGGAGTAGAGTACGTTTCACAGCCTTATTTACTTCTCTACTCGCTACGTGACTACATGCTAATATTACGCTACATTTTCTACAGCGTGGTGCGTTCAGGGCCACTGAGTCACCGTTGTTAAAAACCTCAATGCAAATGAACGTGTGTGCAAAACAAACAACGCTTGACCTTTTCTCATTCCCGCGGTCTGTTGTTAGCCGCTGTGCCAAGTACAACATTGTTTTTCTGACATCATTAATACCTACGTGTCGTGCACCGGGTCCGTGGCGAACAGCCGGTGCCTGCACCTTATTTGCCCAATCTGTACAGCAGCCATGCTCTGGATCAGTCAGCTGTGCAAATTCACTCTGAAACACCATCCAGTGCATCACTGGACATAATTAATCCCAGACATTTACTTGGAAAAACCTTTTGGCAAATATACCTGGGCACAGATCTTATCGCAGACCTGCAGCATCACTCACAGCCCTCGGCTGTGGCCTCCTCAGCCGCCTGTCGGCTTGTTTGCTATTTCTGACTAGAATATCCAACTGGTAATATCCTGGATTAGACGACCAGGTTCAGAGATTGATGGAGGATTGCTCTGAGTCAACATTCTGACACGCTGCCTTCCTCTGCCAGTTCAGTTTCCTGTGTTTTTCCTCTGTTTCTCCATCTAAATCTCACTGTTCATTTCCATTCGCTCTCTCGCTCACTGCCAGATATCAGCAGTGCATAGCAATGAGACTGAGCTGTTTGAGCCGATGGGTCACGACGGCAGACAGAGCGCGCCTTCCTCTGACCTTGCTCTGACCAGACCATCGTCTCTGCATCGTGCCAGCTAATGACATAATAATGCTAATTGCTGCAGATAATTAAAGATCTGTGTGTTAATTTTGAACCTATGAAGCTGGTAAATGGTAAATGCCTGAAACAGGCATTTTTGCCGTTTCTTAAAAAAAAACAAAAAACTTTAACATCTGATGTTTATTTAATAGTAGCAAAAGTGCGAGAGTTGAATTGAACCATACTCTGCAGTATGTTGCAGCCCATCTGCCCAGGCTAAAAAAAAAACAATAAAAACAAGCATAATTTCATATTTAATTCATTATGATTGTTGATGAATTCATTTCATGCTCTTTGAAGAACATGCCATTGTTTTTGGAGAATTGGACTCTTAAGGACTAATTGATGCGTTCTGGTTTTCCTCAAAAGACGTAGATGTAGGTTTCTAGGAGCGAGGGAAGAAGTCGGCGGGATGGAAGTAGAGCAGGTGATGTTTCGGTGTTCGCAAAGCATATGTAGGCTTCAGACAGCTTACCCCGCAGCTGCGCTGTAGTGCCTTCATTTCCCCTGTGTCAAAAGTCTATTAACCTTCTCTTTTTAAGCAAAGTTCATCCTAGCTAATCTTGTTACATATGCTGCACCATCTCTGTATATATATATATGTTATATATGTATATATTATATATATATATATTTATTTATATATATTTTTATATATATACCATGTAGATGAGGCCGTGCCTCCGACAGCAAGTGAGAGCTACTCTGCTAAGTAGCAGCGTTACTAGAGGAGCTCGTCAGCGATGTGGCCTGTCCTATGTTTGACCCGGAGCAAAGCAATCAACCTTTGAATCAAGCTGTAGATTGGCCATAACGGTTTTAATTTACTCAGGTGCTGATTTTCTCCCTCCACAGCTTCTACACAGTAAATGAAGTCCATAAATTCCAGTATTCTCGGCCAGTGAGGAAGGGAGAAAAGGATCCCGACAATGAGTTTGCGGTAATTGCTTTTATTTTTTTTTTCTTTCTTTTACCACATTAGTGTAGCCTGTCCTTATTCATTTTAAGCTTTAAACTGGAAAAAAAAATCAAATCTGTTAGACAGGAGGCCACCAGTGAAGGAAAATACCAGAGCACTTCAATGAAAAGTATAACTTATTTGTGTTGTCCCACTTACAAACAGGTTGGATATTTTTCCACGGCATCCCCTGACAAATGTTCTGGGTTCCTCATTCACTCACAGCACTGTGAAAATGAGCTGAATAATGATCAGAACTTCTGTGGGACTACATCAAACAGAGACACTCTGAAAGGGAATCTTTTATTCATACATATTTTGATCAAGTTTCTCTCTGTTTGTCTAGAAATTCTCCTCCCATGGAGAAGTTTATTATAGCATGTCACTGGAATATTATTTGAGTTTTAGTTTTAGTCCTCCCCTCGTTTCCTGCAGAGAAAATCAACGCCGCAGCAGAACCGTCCTTCATTTCTCATCACAGGTTCCCCTTTTTTGTCGACTCTTTATTTCAGAGGCAAGATGTGTTTGTCAGCAAAAAGCCTCCGACTATAATAAAGTGACTGACGCGGTGAAGTCGGTTGATGAAAACTCAGGAGTTAGGATGTGTAGTGCACTGGAAAAAGTTTGTTTTGTAAGATGTAAATATCCAGGTGAATCTGTGGCATGATTTCTCCATTTAATTTGGCAGTAAAACAAATAGATACAACAGGATTCCTCATATCAGATATTATAAAAACTGCTGTAATAGCTACTGGAGCAAAATCAAAATGATTGATGCACTCAGCCATGTTGTGGGAAAAGGTTACATTTTCTAGGTGAATTCCCTTCTTCTTCAACAGCCTGTATTTTACTGGTCTCCTTTTTGACGGCGCTTCTTGACCCAAACTTTATATTTTGTGTCTTTTTCATTTTCTCTTCAGAATATGTGGATTGAGAGGACCACCTACTCTACAGCATACAAACTACCTGGCATCCTGCGCTGGTTTGAAGTCAAGTCAGTCTCCACGGTAAGTTGATAAAAAAAAAAAGCGTCCTGTGTGCCAGAGAGGCCTCCACATCAGAGGAGGAGGATCTACAGCCTTGCTCAGAGGCAATCAATATGATTTGTCTGCTTAAGCAGCACAGACAGCCACGTGGACGCAGACGTGCCACTCTGCGGTCTAAGGACAGGGCACGTTCTCTCACATTGATTCTCCAGGTGTTCCTTGGAGCTTCATTTCTGAGAAGTGGCTGCACAGGGCAAAAAAAAAACTAGCAGGAGTGTGGTGGGTAACTGCAGAAAGAGAATATAATTATCTGTATTGATCCACAGAGAACCTGCTGTTAAGTGAATGGCTGGCTAATGATTTTAGCCTTCACTTTAGCACTTAGCATTGAAACATCTTGGTTTAGGGCTGTTCTTTATGGCAACAGTTGTCGCTGCTTCAAGCTTGGGTCACTTATAGAGGTCACCTATAGAGGTCACCTATAATTTACTGTTATAGAGGGAAAAAACCCCAGCAATTTGTGACAAAAATTAAATGCCATAAATGTAAAGTGAAGTCGAAAAATTCTAAGATTTCATGAAATAAATGTATTCATGAAAATAACAAACGCTATTTACATATATTATAGCGTCGAGAACTCTTTGCAGGATTATGCAGGATGTCTGTGGCACCAGGTCTCGTCCTGCATTTATTTAAAATTACCATCATTTAGAATATTGTTCCTGTAACAGAAAGTCCACAGTAAACCCTGTTAAAAGTGTTAATCTGCTTTAATGTAGCAGCAGGTGGAGAACTTTAAAATAATAATAATAATAATAATTTACTGCAAGGGAAGCTGTGCTACACTTGGAGTGGTTATTTGTTGTCTTGGTTTTTCCAGAACTCCCTGGCCTGTGAGGGTATCTTTATCCAGGCTGTTTACTACCCTCTGCTCCCTCTGCATCTCTAGCTGTCAAACATCATCGCATGACACCCACACAGCGGGCAGCTCTGCTGTTTACCTTCCCACAACGGGCTTTTGTCACAGCTACAGCTGCGACGACTTTCCCCACAAACACTTGATCCCTCTCCTAACTCCTGGTTCCGTGCTTTTGAAGTGTTTTTCCTCCAACGCCGCACTAATTCAGAGCAGAACCCTTCAGACTGCGCTGGAACATGCTGTCAGGGACAGCTTGCCCTCCAGATGAGCCAGAGAGGGGCCAGGTCCCTGGGGTTGGACTCTCTATTTAAAGCTTAATGACTGGACTGAGATTCAGCACGCTGAGGCTTCATATCTGACAGTGCTTTTCATCAAGCTAGCCGGAGCCGTACCGGGGCACAGATTGGAGATTTGTCTCCATGGCACAAACCTCTCATTTTTTATGCATTTATTTATTTTATTTTTTTATTCGCCTTGCGTTTGCATCTGACATTTACTCGGCTGCCCACTTATGATTCTTTGGAATTCATAGCAACAGGATTTAAAGAGCTTTTATTTATCTCCATGGTAATGAGATCGGTGGAACAGGGGTTTAGCTGAATTCATGACAGGTCCATTTGGCTGAATACTTTATTTATCTTCCCTCAGAATTGCCAATCATATTTTGTTGACCTGGGAATTGTAATTCCCCATGACAGTGCGCTATCCATCTTTATTTGACACATGTGGGCTCATGTATGGTTGGTGAAGAAAAAATGATTCATTACCTCTCTACGCTTCATGATTTATGTGTTTAGTTAAAAGTTTCTAAGCCCGTCTCCCAATAACTCACCCCTGGATGGTGAAGATAAACGATGCACTTTTATACTTAGAGAGTCAGTAGGTGTGAGTAAAGACACTGTGATTACTGGCGGAGATGAATTAAGACAGTTTCACACGCAGTGTTGACAAATGTGGCAAACACTTAGAGGCAGGGTGTATGGGTATTTTTACCCAAGATGCACAGGGGCTGTGCTCCTGTCATGCTTGTCTTTGGTAAAACACCACAGCCTGGACTCCTGCAGCCTCACTGAGTTTAATTAAAGCATTCAACCAAGACACTACAAGAGAAGACAAGTGCATATTATTAGTGGTATTAGTTTTAGTTTCTGTTCTTTCAAACAAATGCCCACACACACGTGCTTTTCTTTATGTTTTTCTTAGAATTTCTTACTGAACAATACATTCCGTGGACTTGTACCTCATTCATAAACCATCCAGAATAAATGAGCCATCCTAATCCTTATCCTAACGCTAATGCTAATCCTATTCTAAACTTCAGAAATGTCGTTCAGCAGCTGCAAACATCTTTGTCTTGTGTCCTCAGTTGGTCTGCGCCCCTTGTCTTTATCCTTACCTCTAATGCCATGTAATTAAATGATAATTTACACATAAGACGGTGAAGAAAGAAATATTACACAATGCAACGGGAGAAAAATAGATTTGTTAAACCAATATTTCAGACAGGAAGGGCTTTCAAGCAGTGGAGCAGGAGTTTTTCATTACATTTCAAAGTGCACGAAAGATGAAACAGTCTTAGGACTCAGGCAGCACAAGAACAACTTCCTCAGACAGAGAAATGACGGTCTTTAGTTGTCAGTAAAAACAATGCAAGGATTCCTTCATAGTTTGGCAAAGAATCAGACCAGTGTTGTAGAATGAATGAATACTTTATCTCCTGTCATAAAAACATACACTTGTGAGGGTGGCCAGGACCGGAAGGTGAAATGTCTCTGCTCTGATACAGGAGGTTTGTTTTAAAGATGGGAGGCTGACGGTTATTTCAGGAAGACCAGTTTGACCTCCTTATTTGGCCCAAATATTTAAGGATATATAAAAGTCACACACTATGACATAGTGACATTGCAGCATATGACATTGCTGTTCTTCGTCAGTCTTGTCATCTGTGAGGAGGATGGTAAAGGAAGGTAAAATGACTCCCGAGTCTCAAAATAACTGGTGACACCTTGGCTTCCTCTGGTGAACAGGAGGAGATCAGTCCACTGGAAAATGCCATCGAAACGATGCAGCTGACCAACGAGAAGATCAGCAGCATGGTGCAGAGGCATCTCACTGACCCCAACCTTCCCATCAACCCCCTCTCCATGCTACTGAATGGGATTGTGGACCCCGCTGTTATGGGAGGCTTCACCAACTATGAGAAGGTACTTAGCTGTGGCTTCATGATGGCTTTCAATTGTTCTAATTATGTGTGTGTATATATGTATATATATGTGTGTATATATATATAACCAAAGATCAATCAGCATTCCTAAAGGAGGGACAAAGATTTCTTTTTCTATATAGAGTTGTAGGTGTATACACATACAACTATAACTATATACCATAGTGTGTATACACATGCTGTATGCACATACAACTATAACTATATACCATAGTTATAGTATACACATGTGCTATAACTAAATAACTGTAAAAGTTACTCTTTTATTTCCACATTGATGTAGCGTCCCACTTGTTGGTAGAGACATTCAATCCCACGGAGGTGATTTCTCACTTTTCGGTGTTCGCTCAATTCATTGTAAAACACAAAGTTTCTTGGAGAGAAAAAAAAACTATTTCTCTCTGATAGTTGTGAAAATCCTGTTAGTTTTCCAGCACACATCATTTTCTGTGGCAGTAGTTCTGTTGAATCAATGCAGTAGGACTTGCTGATTCCAATTCCTTGCCCTCAGGTCACTGCTTCATCTGAGTGAAATAGTTCAGGCGGTGGAGGTGAGGCAGATGTCCTGACTAAATTTTCATCATCCCACCAGCCCAGCAGAATCCTAAACAATTTCAGATTCTTCCCATTCCGTCTCCCACCCTCATTTCCGCCGCTTCGCCTCCTGAAAAAAAAAAAAAACCCAACTTATCTCATCTGTTCCTCAGGCCTTTTTCAACGACAAGTACATGCAGGAACACCCGGAGGACCCTGAGAAAATAGAGAAGCTGAAGGACCTCATCGCCTGGCAGGTGAGAGGGCAGCTCTGAATGGTCAGCTGTTTTTGTGTGAAGTGTGTGATCATGGTGAAGCATCAACTGTCTCCTACATCAGTCTTTGTTCAAACCTATTTTTTTTTATTCAGTCATAAAAATGAGCAGCAATCAGAGCTGGTGCCACTTAGGCAGCTGCAATAAATGTAATGATTTGGGTTCAGACTCTAAGTCAGTGATACAGGCCACCGAACAGTCTATTCTTCCCCGTGTCTTGATTCTAGTATAAACTTCAAATGATAATGTTAGACAAAAATTTGGTTTTTGTTTTTGACACAAATTAATTCTAAGCTGTTATTTGAACCAGCCATTTTAAAGATAGTACCTGATGATTCTCATTCAGTCTCGTGTGTAAAGTGCCGTCACCACTAATGTGAAGAAACAACGCTAGCAGTTAAGAATGTATTTAAAAAAAAAAAATGTGTTTGCTTACAAAAAACAAACAAACAAAAAAAAGAACAGTTGTAAATGACACAAAAGGAATTGATTAAAAAGAGTGTTTTTGAAATGTGTGGAGAGTGCTGAAGCAAACAGTCTGTGAAGTTTGGTGGCCTGCTCCACAGAGAGATCAGCACCAGTGTTTCATGGTTTTTTGTTTGTTTGTTTTTTTGCTAGCATTGCACCATCCCTGAGCCTGTAAGAAGTGCGAACACAGCAGACAGGAAATATACACACACTCCCGCACACAAACACAGACTGTTGGGAGACCTCACATCACATGCTGTTTCACAGCTTACTATGAAACTCAGCATGTCTCCGGCTCATTGGTCACTCATACTGGATGAATACACTAAAGAATGCTGCACTGTAGTACTTTTTTTTCATGTGTTTTCACTTTTTCTTTAAGAAAAAAAACCCTCACTTTTAAATTATACAATGAAGGTTTTTCTTAATGTGATGTTACATTTGCAAACGCCAACACAGTAAAAGTCATTTTGGTTTCAGTGCATTGAGTCTCAGAGTTAAGGTTGGCAAGAATAGTGCATAGAAACATTGTTGTTTTATAATAATAATAATAATAAACTATTGTTAGAGTTCTGACACCGATGTAGTGGTGGGCGATACCAGATTTTTTGGCAATTGTTTTGATACCGACACTTTGCGTTATTTAATTCAGCCAATGAAATGCATGACAATTACTGGCCTTTTAACCACTTTAATATCTATTTTTACAACATTTTAGTCATGACAAATTATATTACTTTTTAGGTTTTACATAATGTAATCTAAATAGCTTAATTGCTATCATTAAGAGACAACGATGTCTAATCAACGTGATCACATGACGTCACTGTTCTCCTCTAGTCAGTGGCCATGTGACATGAACAGATCAACTTTACGTTCCCGGTGTTGCGGCCTGTATGTAGTATGTAGTTACCCTAATAGACCCTATTAGAAAAGGAGCAGATTTAATGGAACCTAATGGTTCACAGTGCAGAGGACGGGGAGGTTTCTGTTCAGATAGTCTGTTAGAGAAACTGAATTGTCTCTATTATAAGGCAGTAACCCATCGCAGTGACTTTCAAGTTGATATTTTAAGGAGGAAAATAGAGCAAAAATGTCACTTTAATAGTTATAAAGTCACAACCTTCAGGGAAAGAATGGATGACATTTGCAGTACTCATTCCTTTATCTGCAGTTTAAATTTAGGCCGCCTTTGCTCTTCACATCTGTGGGGAAACACCTCTGTGTGTGGATTTGTCTTCATAAAGCAGCCTGTCCCATTGCAGTGATATTACTTTTTGCCTTTTGTACTGAAGTTTTGTGTCATTTTTGATTTCATGCCATTCTGTTGCTCTTTCTTGTGAGGAAGACGGTTTGTATGGGTGCTATTTTAAAGTATTATTTCCCTATTAGTTGCCACATCATTTTTTTTTTTTTGGGGGGGGGTTGCATCGTGTCAGCCACTAGCGTGGTGTCAAGGCAGGCAGTGACTGAAGTATTTGACAAAAAGCGTGTGCTCAAGCTGCCTAAAAATACTGATGAAGGTGTCAGTGTTCCACTGTGCTAGGAGAGGTGCTGCTCATAAATACATTATGTCTGACACAGTTTGGAGCATGTGTGCAGATGCTTCAATTAAAAACTTTCCGTTCGTTTTCATGTTGAACCCGGAGGAAAAGTGTTGCATAATGGATGTCATTTTTATGACAGCTCATGTTTCAAACACTTTTGTTGACTCATGAGTCATGTGGGCATTTTAATGAGATTTAAGCCGCGCTAACACAGAGCTACAAAACCATTTGTAAAATCCTCACTCCACCCACAGTCCACAGTCCAGTGCTAATTAGCAGCAGCACAAATGCACACAGCAGATCTAGCAGTGTTGCAGAAATGACCTGCTTCTCTGGGAAACTGTCTCTCCCATTGCTATAAAAAACCATTCAAATGTGTGGCGTATGTTTCGGCTATTAACAAAAACCCTTTTTACTGTAGCTGCTCTGGTGCGATCATCACAGAGGCATGCAACGCAGACGGCAGAAATGTGTGTACAGAGCCCACAGTGGACACAGTGGCGGTGAAGAGATGAGTGAGGCGGAGTTGTTGATGTGAAATACTCTCAGCTGTCTGCTCGCCTGAGCCAGAGCACTTGCTTATCAGCCATCTTGAGTCTGTCTAAATGAGACAAATGAAGATGAGACGGCTCCAAACTAAACAGGGAGAAATGAGCCAGTCTGAGCTGTTATTCTGAAACGCACGTTGTCCTCATCAAGTAATTAGGGAGGAAATGAGCAGCTGGAAATCAGGAAATTAGCTATTGTTAAGAGCTCCTCTGCAAACACAGAGTGGGAGTTTTCTCTGATGTTTCCCTGGCTATAATTAGTAAAAAAAAAGACAAAACAGATGCTCACGTTTCATGAACTTCTGGCTGCTGTGTTACACTCTCATCCTGACATCTGTGAGACTGCTACACGGTAACGACAGCTGTGTGATGACCATGTACAGCAGAGCATCAACAACAACCCCTGCAAATACTACACTGTCCATAGAAATGTGACTAACAGAAGTGAAAACATACAGACGGACAAGTATTATTCACAACTACCACACATTTTTTTTAGGTTTATATGTACATGACATTGTTGCCTCTCATTCCCACAGACTTGTAATAATTCTGATCAAACATGATTGGTCTCTCTTTCTTTTTCTTCAGGTTCAAAAACAAAAAAAACTCAAACAGCATACCTTTTATTTGTAATTCTGAGATATGGTTAATGAAGGCCTCCATGGCGCCGTGCCACTGATGTGCTGTGCAGAGAGCAGTAAATGTCCCTGCCAGTGCCAGTTCAATTTACTGTGTTTGGACACTTCATACACTGTATGTATTTCACACAGAGCTCAGCCTTTAAAGCTGTTTCCATTGATTAAAAAGAACCGTGTCCTTGATTCGCCTTCTCAGCAAGCACCCCGGTATTTCACATTGATTTATTTTTCTTTCTTTTTTAAAAAAAAATAAGGTAACAGTAATGTTTCCCTGGCTACACTGTTTAGTACAGAGTGTTCTGTAGCTTTCAAACATCCTTTTCGCTGTGAACACCGAGCCAAAACCTCTCCATAACTAACATAACTTTAACAAATCAGAACTCTATTTGTCTTTAAGACTTTAAGAAAAGAAAAAAAGTTATATAAAGTAATTAGAAGACTGAATGTGCGTCTGTGTTTAACCTTGAGCCCAAGTGTCTCCCACAATGAACTTATCTCCCTGCAGCCACCTAGCAGATTTCTGTTGCCATGCCACCACTCTGTCGCACTCAATCATCATAAGGTCTATAAAAAGAAGTGGGTATCCTGGGAGACCTGGATCTCGCCTCAGCTTTCACTGTCACTGATTTTTCTTTCCTTTCTGTATTTTTTTTCCCTCTGCTCACCCGAGCTCTCTCGTCACCTCTCCTGTCTCCTCTGAGAGATTCCAGAGGTGATGATGGAGATGCTTGATGCCAGGGGATCCTTGCATGGGGTCTGCAGCTTTACACACACTTGTTGTGTGCAGCAGTGTTGGTAATGTCTCTCCTTTCTGATAAAACGTCCTCGAAATATTCACGAAAAAAGATGAACCACACCTACTACACACAGAAACCTATTACATAATATTAATTCTGTTTTTAATTACAGTAAAACAATATAAAGAGCACTCACCTCCTGTGCTCACTTCAGTTTACCGGTCGTATGAAAGCTGACGCACGTCTATTCACCAGTTTGTGTTGACAGTGGTGGAATAAAAGGGACTTTCCTTTTATATGTACTGTAAGATTTTCGCACCAAAGCTGCTGGAAAAAAAAACATGTAACACTGGAGATGCTTACCAAAGGTTGCGTCAGAGAAGTGAGTTAGTGTGTAGCTGCTGAGTGAAGGCGCTGTTGATGGAGGAGCTGTTGGTCCTCAGAGAACAGGAACAAAGGCCGGAAGACACTGAAATAAGAGGTTCACGCACACGCACACACAGATACACACAGTCATCTCTTTACCGGCCCACATATGTCACACACTTCACACACTGCTCTGTACTTGGTTTCTCTGTTTCTTTTGCCGAGAGCTGAGGTAAAAATACATTTTTTAAAAGTAAGAAAAACCGCCCTACAAACACGAACGAAAGGAAAGTTTGTGCAAATGTGTCACCGTGAGCCACACTGTGGGTCAATCCAGAGTTGATCAAAACATATAATTATATTATTCTGGTTTCTCTGATGAGTTTCTGGTTAAATGTTGTTGCTGTGCAGCCTCACTGACTCGTCACATCATTGCAGCCTTTGTTCTTTTTATTTTACTGGCCAATCATGAGCAAACACAACGTTTAAAAGATAATACACACTACCTGAGATGTGAACCAGCAGGAAGGAGAGAAAAAATAAAACACCTATTTCCTGGAGGGACGAGGCTTCCTCCGTTTGACAGTTTAGTCAGCAAAGCCTGCTGACGCCCAATGTGGCACTGGGGTTTTCTAATTACTGGCTTTCAGCAGTTTCACACTTTTCTTTCTCCTTCTCTCTCTCTCTCTCTCTCTGTGTGTGTTTCTGAGCTGCCTCTGTTAAAAATGGGCTGCCCCTGTTATTATTCACAGGCTGCTTTACAGTGTGTGAGGCAGCGGTGAGTTGAAAAGGTGCATTGCAGCTGTATTCACCACACAGTTGGCAGTAAAAAAAACTACCATCACACAGACCAACATACTTTTACATGATTTCTGTCCGAGCTGTGTCATCCCAGTGTTTGTTAGACCTGTGCTGTGATGAGATGTAAGTACAGGTAGGACAGGGAGATACCATGGCAACAACCTCCTGTGTGAACATCTGCTTTAATCCGGTTCAGGCCGCTCTGATATTCTGTCCTCGTGCACACGGATTCACCTGACGTGATGCTCATTCATCGCCCGTGCTGAGTGTGCACAGCCCAGAGGGGCGAGGGGGATGCAAGGTCAAGTGCATTAAATTGGATATACAGTGTGTGCCGACGTATTCCACTGACAATAGTAGAGCTAGCGTCTTAACTCGCCCCTCGTGGCTCCCGAGCTTTATTTGCTGCCTAAAAGGTTCCTTACGTTGCTGTTTTGCTCCACCAGATCCCGCACCTCGCCGAAGGTGTTCGCATTCACGGAGAAAAGGTCACGGAGGCACTGAGGCCCTTCCACGACCGCTTGGAGGCCTGCTTCAAGCAGCTGCGTGAGAAGGTGGAGAAGCAGTACGGCGCAAAGACCCTGGTAAATTGGTTTAATCTGGCTGTGACCTTTCTGTTTGCCACAGTTGGTGAGGGCAGTGTGGAGATTATTTTCCTTTTACATGAATTGCCAACATTAAACCTGAGAACATTTGAAACATTTTAGAGGAGCTAGAGATTTCTTACATTTTTACCTGAGCAGTAAATCCTCTGCAGTGCTGCAGGTAACCGTTAGCCACCTCTAGCCTTCATTACAGATTTTGTTGTTTGCTTGGCCAACTTTCCCCTCCACTTGTCTGAGCTGTTTCAGTCAAATTAAATGGAGAGGACAGTGACCTTTCAAACAGGGAAAAATCCATCAGCTTTCAGAGTGAAATAATGAGAATGTCCACTGACTCTTCAGAAAGACACTTTCAATGCAGCAGATTTATCATTAAACCGGTCAAATAACAGATTAGGGTTGTGTTCTGTCTTTGGGTTTTTTTGTTTTAATGTAATTGTTCAATTAAAGGCAGTTTACTGCATGTTAGTTACTGCAATCATCCACTCTTTTGCCATGTATTTATGTCCACTTGTCCTGTGAGGCACATTTTAAACTTGGATTTTGACTCAAAATGTAATCCAGGAGTAAAAAAAGTGAAAAATATTTTAACATTTTAACAAAAATATTTAACACAGGTTTGACACAGATATATTGACGGATTATATGGAGTTTTATTTGTCACATGATCATTATACAGGTATAACTAACAGTCAAACGTGACCCTGGGTCACTTCTACAGAAAGTGTGTGAGCAAGAAATAAAAAAGTGAGCAATAAAAAACACGGACTATAAGCCCCACAGTGCCCTCTAGTGGCTGTCATTGTGAAATTAACGAACATGTAAGAAAAACCCAGTCAAAAGATGAAAAAAAGTGCGACTTATAGTCTGGAAAATACAGTAGACTAACACACAGGAAATAAGATATATAGATATATCTTTGTGGATTGAACTGAGAAAATATTTTTCTAGGCACGAAAACACAGCTTTTGACAGGAAAATGATGTCGTATGTTTGTTTGATGTGACAGCCTGCAGCTGATGAGCGTCGGGGGCCCCGCCCACTCTCCATGGTTCGCTCATTCACCATGCCCTCCTCTCAGAGGCCGCTGTCTGTGGCCTCCGTCACCTCCATTTCCTCCGACAACTCTCCATCCAGACCGCCGTCAGACGGGTGAACACACACATTTACATCAGGCTTCCTGGCCTCATGTCTACACTTCAACCTTGTCTTGTGTCCCAGGCCATTGGGCTAATGACAGTTGCTAGAGGGGCTAATGTGAATTTGTCTCATCCTCAGCTTCGCCCAGGAACCTCTGCTGCCAAAGAAGCTGCACACCAAATCTCAGGACAAGCTGGACAGGGACGAGTCTGAGAGGGAGCGCAAAGAGAAGAAGAAGGAGAAGAGGAACAGCAAGCATCAGGAGATCTTTGACAAGGAGATGAAGGCGACAGAAATCCAAATGCAGCCCACCGAGGCTGTCATCCTCTCTGAGACGGTAGGGCAGCTCCTCCCTCTGTAAATTTGTTCTTTTTATGTTTCCTCTCTGAACCCTTTTGTAGTTCAATGTTCTCTTTCTCTCTAATTTGTCCTACTATGTTACTTGTATTTGGATCTGCTGAGTTCAAACGGAGGAAAATGAGGAAGATGTTAGTGGCAGAAACAAAAAATAATAAATCTGCTTGCCTGCGTGTGTGGATTGTAATGTGTTTGAAGCTCAGGAGTCTCCCTCAGGCAGCGTGCTGATGTTCTTTCTTCTCTGTGTTATTACAGAGCTGATGATAAAAACAGAAAACCCTTTTTTCCACCCAAGCTTTCAGAGTCTCTTTTTCCTTCTGTGTAACTAAACCTTGTTTGTTCGCAAAACTGAACAAGATCAAATATGTGGATTTGGCTAATTCCATTATAGACCTTCCCACAGTTTTTTACCTCTTTAGCATCAGTCTCTGGAAATTCATATTGTTTTCATTCTCTGGTGTGGACTCACAGTTCGTTTTTAGCTCAGTTGAACTTCTTTTCCTTCTTTTAGCTGCTCCACTCCTGAACTGCTCCCCTCGTGTCTATGTATCTTCGTTCTCTCACTACTGTGCCTTTGTGCTCGAACACACGCTATGTCCATTACAGTGGAGGCATCGGCCTCTTCTGCATGCCCAGTGGTAATGTTCCCTAGCTAACTGCATTAAGATAAGCACAGGGATGAGATCCAAAGGAGGCCCCTGACAGTGATGGAGCCGTCTTGCTCATGATACCAGCTCCCTGCCTCAGGGGTCAAGGGTGAAGCACCCTGTGGTCTCAGGAGTGAATCCAGCAGTTCTGGGGAATGTTTTTGGAGAGGGTAGTATGTGGTGCAGAATACAACTAAAATACATACATTTTTAATATTTTTTAGTTTATTTTACTGAGGCAAAATAGAAACAAAAAAGCTTGTTTAAAAAAAAAACACAGAAAGGTTTTTAGTATTGAGCCAATCCACTTAGTTCTGTTCGGTTAAACTAAGTATACCTTAAATACCTCAAATACTTCAGAAAGGTTTGGAGTGAAGAAAGAAACAAAAGGTCTAAGTAACATTCTGGGAGTTTAAATGTGCAAGTTAACTGGCTTTTTGAAAAAGAAAAAAGATATTCCGTTGATCTCTGGTTTGTGACAAAATTAAAAAGACTATCTTTGTTATTGATATTTTGAAAATAGTTCTTTTTCATTGCATGAACATTATTGTTTAAATACATCATTATATCTCTGACTTTCTTTTCCCAGCAAATCCTTTAGGAAACATGTTAAATACTCCCTTGTTCTGAGCCTCTGTCATAGTAAATAAGCAGTATACTACACAAGGTAGTGCGTCTTTAATTGATGTCATATTTCATTAGACAGCGTTGATCTCATTTTAATCGACTCGTTCTGTAATAGTGGTCTCTCACCTTAAGTGCTCAGTAATGGCCCTGATACGTCTGCTAATACCTACTTCCTCTTTACACACTATTACACAGATCAGCCCCCTGAGACCACAGAGACCAAAGAGTCAAGTTCTCAGCCAGATTGGAGGAGATCGACGCCTCTCCGTGTCTCCTGGGCCTCCCTCTGCCTCCTCCAACTCCACCTCCTCACCAGGACCTCCACCCATCACGCCCAGGAGCAAACTCTCTTTCAGCACATTACATGCAGTGTCCAGTAAGTAGCAGCTATTTATCCCTGTAGGGCACATACTCTCAACCATTTTTGGTCAAACTACCCATGATGCAACACTAACAGCTAATCAACTACCACATTTTTCAGACTACAAGTCACACGTTTTTTCATCCTTGGCTAGGTTTGCGGCTTATACTCAAGTGTGACTGATATATTAAAATATATATTTTCACGTTTGTTATTTTCACACTGATGGCCACTAGAGGGCAATCTATGCTTGTGTACCAGTACCTGCTACTCCCGTCCCACTGAAAATTTACATGGTTGTTATTTTCACACTGACAGCCGCTAGAGGGCATTGGTGCGACTTATATTCCAGAGCGACTTATAGTCTAGAAAATACGGTAGTCTTTTGTGGTACTGACTTGTTTTTTACTCTGTAAACTGATGTTATTGACCCTCCCTGACGCCCCTCACCGATGCTGTTCTTAAGGTGCAGACATTTTTCTCTCTTGATTTCATCAGTCGATTTTAACTAATCTCATTTTTCCTGGTTTTCTCTCCAAACATACAATTAGTCTTGAAAACCGGGAGCTGAGCAGGGAGGGAGCCGAGTGATTTATCAGGACCCACTGTTTGAACCACACTAATGTGTTTTGATGATAAATCTGAGCTCGTGTACTTGCACAGATCTGGAGCTGAATGGGATGGGCTGCTCCGACAAGGGCGAGACCCCTCCCCCTCTACCCTTGAAAGGCAACACGGCTGATTACGGCAACCTGCTAGATAATCAAGAGTTGACGAGTCCCACGACGCCTCCGCCGCACCCTCCGCATCAGAGGGTAGGTGTTTTAATTAGGTCTGAGAGGAGCTCCTTAATGATGCACCACATGTATATTAGAAGCAGGTTCCACCACATGCGTTTGACATTTGGGTTAACCACCTCCACTGTCCCCCATCCCTGTGTGACCTGTGCTAATGTTCCTGTTTTCACGTTCCAGCGTGTCCATGTGTTTGCTTGTCTTATGTGTGTGCCTTATTTTTGTTATCTGTGTCACACACCAGTGTAGGCATCAGTTAGTTATCAGCCCGGTCCTGCATGCTGCTGTCCACCCCTCTGTTATTTATACTGGTCCCCCGCAGCCGGGCCCACCGCTCAGACGTGATTGATTGGATGATTGCTTTAGCCCTCACATCCATCAGCAGCTCCCCTGCTGTTAATAAGCGGCTCATCTCTCCATACTCAGCGACGTCTACTCTGGGCGTCCTCTCTCCTCGCCACTCTGTTAACTAATCTTATTTATCTACTGTCACGGTCCGTGGACAGGTAGTAAAACCGAGCCTGGGCACACGCAGTGTGGCAGCAGACTGACAGCAGAGTAGTGAGAACAGATGCTCCGAGCCTGAGTGACAGCCACTCTTCATTTACTGTCCTTGATGGAGGCGCTGCTGATGTCACTGTCTGGCATCGCTCTTCTGCTGTGTCTCAATTCAGGGTCTGCAGCCAATACACAAGACACAATGACGGACAGTCTGAACCCAAGAAAGCAAGGATAGCTGTTTTTGACTGCAGTGTCACTGCTAGCCAGCAGGGTCTAGAACTGTCTTTCCTATGTAGCGCTCTAATAGTTTTATAAGTTAGATGTGCTTCTTGTTATTACCTTTCTGACAGCCAATCATAACCTTAAGGAAAATTTAAAAGCTCAACATACTTCTTTAGCAGAATTGTAATCATTTTTTTAAATTAAATGTTACAGAGACTTATATAAGCTAGCACCACTTAGCTGCTACCAGGACAACTGTCGGCCCCAGCAACAAGAGCAGCCATGAGACACGGAAATTCTGGAAAAATAAATGTGTCTCAGCTTTTAAGTGACTGAAATGCCACAGGCAGTTAGTTACACTGGGCGCTTATTAAATTAGCAGTTAGTGCTGTCACTCTTCAACAATAAATACTTTGGCTTCTTCCTCACAGTCCATTAACATGTACATTGGAGCAGTGATTCCCAATCACTGTAATGTGCCGTGAGACAGTTGTCAATGTGACTGACAAGTAGAATGATTAAATACTCTTCACCTAGCTAGCAGTAGCAGCAGCTAACTATAAATAATAATGAGAGTGAGAGCTGTAGAAGATTAGACCTTTGTGTGTTTTGTTTCTTCAATTTCTGTTACTAAGTATATTAGTTTTGTGTTCCACAAAACAGGGCCAGATTTCACACTAAGTAAATTATTAGTAAATTAATTTTATTTTTATATATATTATTGGTTGGGAAACACAAACGCATTTGGGTATATAAAGGAGAAGAGGATTTATATCTGGAAAGTCTTTTTTTTTTTTTTTTTTTGCTTTATCTGATATAAAGCCTGCATTGTTTTCATGTTCAAATTTCTGCCAATAATACCTGGAATATGTTAAAAAATTGATAATAAACAGTATAATTTTTGTGAAAAAAATTAGATTGTCTCTTGTGTGTTGTGCATCTCATCATTGCTATTTTGTCTCCTTACAGCATTTCCCGCCTCCTTTGCCCAGCAAGACCCCTCCCCCACCTCCTCCCAAAACTACGAGGAAGCAGGCATCCATCGATTCAGGAATTGTACAGTGAACAAAGCGGCTGAGAGTAGGACCAAACAACACACAGACAACACAACAAAAGTCTACCCTGAGCAGCGTTTGCTTTTACCCACACATTCCTCGCTCCCCATCCCAGCTTGACAAGATGAATACCTCACCGCCGCCCCATCCCTTTTGTCATCTTCCTTCTGTCTTTGGACCCCCAGCTTGAAGACAAATGCAATCTGCAGCAGGGAGTGTGTTACACAGATGAGTAGTCACTGAACATGTAGCCACCACTACACTTGACATGAGATTGTGCTCGGTTAGATGAACTCCGACCAGCAGTTTTATACCAACGACCTGCGTCTCATTTAAGGCCCATTTTCTATTTACTTCTTATTCATACTCCCACTTTGTACAGAGGTTTGTATATACGATTTTATTCTTTTTGTTTTCCATGAATGACTTGATAATGATTCCGTTTTTTTATTAACGTTCTATTAGAGACAGAGCACAGCCTGTAGGTTTTGGGGTTTGTGACCAAACGGACATGGATTTGATCGCATTAAGTTTGTGGAGTTGACGTCTAACACACATCACAGTACCGTTGTTTAGACCTGAATTGCTGTAACCTTCCATTATTACAACTCCCTTCCAGTCCACTACTGACACACTTCTGAATAAACTATATGAAATATATGTGTGTTTGTAAATATTGATTTGCTTCTTTATTTCCTCTGCAGTAACCATTCTTGTGTTTTTCCCTTTCAGTCATTTGTGACAAGTGTTGGAGTTGGAAATGGCCTGCAGTGAAAAACTAGGAATGGGAATTTATATAACTTTATCGATTCTGATCCCATTATCCAGTTGATTCCTTGTTGTTTGATCTCTCATCAGTTCTCTTCCTTACCGATTCTCTTATTGCTTTGTTTATTGTCATTTTTTTCCTCTTAAGGATTTGGTATCCGATTCCTCAAAGATTCTCTCATCAGATTGATTCTTTGCCGATTCTCTGTCCAAACTGCTGACATCATTGACCTACTAGAATGAAGTACCATTAAGGACACTGAACTGCAGTAGAAAAACACACCCGTGCAGCTGGTTGTGTTGAAAACTTCTAATGGAAAATTGAGTCGCTGGATTGGCGTCTCGTGGGTGCGTCCTGATTTCCAGCTGCTTGATTGACAGCCTTGATGACAGAAGGATATGTGACACCATCTCTCCTTTAGAGTCTTGCAGCCTCATTCACATAATGCAGCCTCTCCCTGAATCATGTTGTCAAGTCCAGTAACAGAAAGACTGACGGGGCAGCGTCACACCTCAGTCCTGCCTCACGTATTCTGGTTCGCAGTAACCGCGCTTTACTGTTAGTCCTGGTTTATTCTCATGATCGTGTGAAAATGACAGATCGATAGCAGCTCACACACCAAAGGTTGACCTTTTTTTTTTTAAACAGCCTTTTCTGCCTCATTGATTGGCTGTTCTTTGACTCCACAGTGATGACTGAAGTATGAACCAGTGAGACAGTATGTAATTATCTGTTGTGCAGCGACTTTAAACTCAATTACTCTTTAATTAGTTAAGTGTCGTGTTCGTTACTGGGAGTGTAGGTGGAGGAATTGAAAAGAGTGAGTTTATTTATTCAGAGTCATTCTGACACGGATGACACTTGATAAACTCTAATGATTCACTGCTCTCCTCCCCTCTCTCCCCCTCTCCCTCTCTCTCTCATCTTCATTCTTTCATTGGCATGGCTGTGACTTCATCACAGGCTTTTCTTGCTCATCTTCCCTCCCATATAAACACAGCCGTCATGATGTGTTCCATCCCATCATGTTTATATTCTGTTCTCTTTTATTTTCCAGCTGGTATTTTGACTGGAGCTGCTCACTGCTGCCACAAACTGGTGCTGTTCAACCTGGCTTTTTCAAACCGTTGTGTTAATTGTACATTTGGCAGCAGTGCTCACAGGCCCCCTTGTCAGTTCCATGAAATGATCAGCTTGTCAGTTCTGTCTCTTTGAGGAAGTATCCACCTCAGCACCGCAGCATCTGGTCTTTGTTTTTTTGTTTTTTGTAATGTCCTAATTAGAAATACTGAAAATGACCTTGACATTTTGTCAGGGGAAGTTGTTTTCTGCTATTTATTGCAAATTTGAAAGGAAAAAATAGGTATGTGAGCATGTAGTTCATGAAGTTGGAATTTCATTTGCTGTCAAACCTCAAGATTTCCTGGTCAGATGGTAGAACTTCCTCCGCTCAAAATAAAACTCTAGGAAAAAATGGGGAATTTGGAAAGGAAATGATTCAGTGTTAATTTAATAATAGAGCTGTATGTAACAGAGTTCCGAATGGTCTGGTGCATTGCTTCTCTGCTTTCAGCGCCCCCTGTGATGGTACCATGCAGTCAATTTGAACGTCACCTCAGATCAGAGTTTTCAGTTTCCATTTGACTTAACTCTGGATCTAGTGGCTCTTCACACCAGGTTCAGGTCTTAGCAAGAAAAATCCAGAGCCACTCCAGTCCACGGTCCACAACACAGACTGTCTGGTCACATCCTGTTGTGTTGTTTCCTGGTTAGTGCTCAGTTCCTCGGTACAATTCCCACACCTTCTACTATCATTCCCTTCTTTTCTGCCTGCAGCTGTTTAACAAAGAAATCCATTGAATCCCAATGAGAACATGGCTGATCAATGAGATCCTGTGTGTGTGTGTGTGTGTGTGTGTGTGTGTGTGTGTTGGGGGGGGTGGGGGGGGGGTTTCTAGGGGCTGGTGTGCGTAACGTGCG